TTTAAAAATTTGTTTACAGGCCTGGAAAATATTTCTGCCCACTCTTTATTGTTATTTTGTTTTGTTTTTGAGACAAGGTCTCATGTAGCCCAGTCTGCAATCAGTTTTGTTATGTAGTCGAGGCTAGCCTTTTACTTATAAGTGTCCTGCTCCCACCTCCCGAGGGCTGGGTTCACATCTGTGTGCTAGGACCCAGCTCCCATGTGCTCTTTTTAATTTCATCCTTATCATTTCCATTCTTGTTCATACTTGTTACTTGTACTTTCTATAGTTCTCTCTTTAGCTTCTTGGGTTTGAATTACATTCTTTTAGTTTTGTTTTTCATTGATGTATTACTTTTATGATATAGACATACTTTTATTCCTATATCACTACTTTATACATTTTGTAACTTGTACATATTTCATTATCACTAATTTTATTTGTTCTTCTTTTACATGCATTTATATATGTACATATGTGCATGTGTGAGGGGGCCAAAGGTGTTCTCTTCAATTGCTTTGAACTTTATTTTCAAATATATCTACAGCTCTATATATGTATATATATATGTATATGTATATACATATGTGCATACACATATACGGAGAGAGACAGTACATATACAAGTGCCATAACATACGTGTGGGTGTTGAGGGCCAACTTGCTAGAGTAGATTTTCTCCTATCACATGGATTCCAGGGGGTTAAATCTGGTTATTAGGCTTGGTGACAAGTGACTTTACTGGCTGAGCCATCTTGCTAGGCCCTCTACTTTATTCTTGACACAGATTGGTGAACCTCAGGTTTGGTGAGAAAATCTGTTTTAGAATCAAGGTGAAGGGGTCAGTGGTTTGGCTCACTGGATAGAGGTACCTATCCCTGGGACACATGGTAGAAGAAGAGAAGTTACTCCTATGAGTTGTCTTCTGACCGACACACAAACAACAAGGCACGCATACACAATGGCCTACATGCGTACACATACACACAGTCAAATAAATAAATGCTTTTTTAAAGGTGAACCTGAGGTTCACCAATTCGGCTAGTCTGGCTGGGTAGTGAGCCTATTTCATCCCCCACCCCACACCCCAGCTAGTGGTGGGGTCACAGACAAGTGCCTGTGCACTGACTCTTACATCTGCTGCAAAGGCACTTTACCAACTGAGCTAACCCTCCAGTCCCCATTTGTTAGTTTTTGATGTGGCAAGCAGGACAACAGGCCATAACCTACACTGTTATTTAATTTACTGAAATTACCTTGTCATAAATGTTGTTAAAGTAGATGGACGTGTCAGACATCCTGTGAGACTACAGAACAGAAGTAGGTGGTTTGGTTTCTAAACGCTTGTGATTTTACATCAGATGATAGCAATAAACCTTTTAGTTTCCAGAGTTCTTTTGTGAGGGCTTTATTTGTGGGACTCATTCAGTAAAGCATGTTGATACCATCATAACCTGCCGAATTAGTACTGATGGGTGAGAATGAGAAAATAAGAGAGGAAAATGGAAAGGGGTGACTCTCCAGGGTTGGGAGTCTCACTGAGAGTCACCGAGTTGCCACCATTGTCCTGTCTGGGTGCAACAAGAGACAGAAAATGAGCACTAAGTTAAAAAGCAGTAGAGGTTTTGCCCCATATGGGACTAGAAGAGAGTCAGCAAGTCAATGATTATCTCCAAGATTTGGGTTTCACATTATGTAAACAGACTAGCTCACTCTCCATTTCAGAGTCCCTGGTGGCGCTGTGAGTTTGGTAGTGGGAGGTTTATGGTATTTGTGTGATGTGTGATAAGATGCTAGTGGAGAAAGGGAGAAAGCTGCTATTAACACTGATTAACTCCAGAGCTGACCACCAGCACACACAACCATTGTTCCCACCAGAACTCTTTACCGATGGGCTTTGTCTTGCTGGCTTTAGGAGAGACAAATGCCATTACAGGAGACCAAATAACTTCATTTGGGTGGACATCAGATAATAGAGACTCTGCAGGTATTAGCCTGACTGCATTAGTTTGATTTGCTGCTGCTGTTCACCTTGTCCTGGGCATTAATGGAGACAAAGGCCTGGAATTACCAGCAGCAGAGATAAGCTGTGGATTAGAGCCTTGAGCTCAAGGGAAAAGAATTCTACCCCAGCTTTGCAATTTGCTTATTTTCTCCCCCCTCAAAGTTAACTTCCAGTTTTCCCCTGAATGCCATTATATTCTTTACAAATTTTAGCAATTTTAATTCCATTAACTTCCATTAACTGACTCATTATTTCCTCTAATGAGACCAGCCATTGCTCATCAGATTTTTGAAAATGATTTTAAAGGAAATACAGTGGCAAGCTTGTGTGTTATCCTTCTTCCCAAATATTATTTTATAATATGAATTTATCTTATAAGAATCATAATAGAACCGATATTGTAATTAGTATTAAAAAATAAATGGTTACACATTCCACTTACCATTATTTTCAATACAAACTTATCTTAATTTTTTTCTGACATCTAAACATTATTTCTATTACAATTGTAACCCTTTTTCTGTGGTGCTGGAGTTTGAACTCGGGGTTTTATGCAGGCTAGGTAAGTGTTCTATCGCTGAGCCCAACATTAATTATATCATTTGTAATTATTGTGCACTGTCATTTCAGTTATAAAAACATAGTGCCGTCCATTATATACAACTTGCTTTAGTTGTAAGCTAAGCTGAGTTTTAGGAGCCAGGAGTCAGTTGTCCAAAGTTGTGCTGGGAAATGAAGTGGCAAAGACATTGCCAAGTCACAGCGTCCTTCCTCATCAGACTTTTAGATACACGAGCTTGCACACTTTCTTTTCAAAGACTGTTATTTGCTGAACAATGTTTGTGAGACTATTTCATTTTCTTTTAGGTTGTGGGGTTAGTTTTTTTTTTTTTCAGACTCCTCACCCCCTCATTATAAGCTTGGTTTAACTACAGATAAACTGTGGTTTTGGTTTGAAACCAAAATTTGTGAAAAACACTACTTCAAAAAAGCTCAAAATTTAACATTGTAGTTTCTTGCTCTGCTCAAGGCTTGAAATCCTATAAACTAAGCAGAAATCCTATAAACTAAGGAGAAAGAACAGTAAATCTGATATGGCAAGATAATGGAAATTATGATCATACTGAATAAACAAAAAGCCAACAATTTTTAATAAAATATATAAGATTTAGAAACATTTAATGGCAGTTCTCTCTGAAAGATAAGACTTGAGGTGGCTTCTACTTAGGCAGGATTGCTTACAAAATAAAAGTCTTTTCATATTACATGACACACTGCCCCCTCCTGCACTTGTTAGCTTCCAACCATGGAACTTGGCATTTTCACAGGAGCCCAGTGCAGACTGAAGAGAGCTGTATGTGGAGAAATTTGTGTGACCTCGTTGTAAGCACTGCTCCAACTGTTTACTAAAGCAGTAGTTCCTAATGCCAGCAGCAGTGGCACAGTCCTCCTCAGAAGCCCTTTAACCCCCAGGCCTTTCAAGTGACAGCCCTGTTCACCTTCTTTTTCTCCTCCTTCCCTGTCTTGGCAATAGTGGAAAAGAATCACCCACTTATTGCTGACCATTTGTTAAGAAACAGAGCTCTCTGCCCTAAATGTGTTGTCAGTAAATTATTTTACAAAGTTCCGTGTTAAGCTCAGAAATAATGGCAAGCTGTCTTTCAACAAACAAACGAATGACAACTAACTAACTAAACATATTCCAGAAAAAATGTGTGATGATAATGGATTTGATAGGTTCAGTATGAACCTTTACTCTGGTGTTCATAGGGAAATAGGATGGACAGAAGACTAGGAGGGATAGGAAAAAGAAGGCAAAATGCAGTTCAGGAGGAGAAACGTGAAATCTGGCTGCCATTGGAGAGAATTAGAACATTCAAACCACCATTTCAAAACTAAACAAAAACCTACCTACTGAGGTTTTCTTCATTAACTGGAAAACTGACACCTAGTTTTTGTTGTTATTTGTTTTGTTTTTGTATTTGAAACAGAGGAGAGGGTTCCCTTTTGCCATATGTCTCCTTGCTCTGTCTTCAGGTGGCAGGTGTAGTTTGTTCTTAGAAAGTGCCCTGATTATTTCCAGTAGCTGTGTCAGAGCACATACAAAAAGCCAGTCAACATAGCATGGTACTGGAGTCATTAAACTGGAAACAGAAACAACCAGATGATCACTATCACTTAAAATGACAAGAGGAGAGAGTTGTAAAAAACCTGAAAGCTACCTGATGATTTGCAAATTTACTCATTTTTAAAATGTTAAAGTTACACCTATTTATTCGTGGTGTGTGCACGTATGCATGTATGTGTGTGTGTTTGCACAGGCTCACAACACATATGTGGAGATCAGAGGTTTACTTTCCAGGGTTGATTTTCTCTTTCTACTACATGGGATCTGGGGGATCGACAGAGCCTAGGTCTCCAGGTTTGGCAGCAAGTACATTTTCCTTCTGAACCATCTCACCAGCCCTGCAGTTTGATTCTTTTTGGGAATATGAGAGCTGATGGTCTTACATCTGTACTTTGCCATGATGATCAAAAAAAACCCTCAAAATTGGTGGAATGTAAGGATTTGTTTGAACATATGGCCAAAAATCAACAGAAGATTTACCAATAACTCCTCCATAATATAGGTGTGTATAATTGTGTTTCAAACTGTACCAGAAAGAAACTAATTGAAATAAATTGGACCCTCCTTTTTCATTATTACATTTTTAAATACTTCATAAGTTGCATTCAGCCTGTGGGATCACTTATTGATGTATGAGCTCAGTGATTTTAGTACGCGTCCTAATTTATTAGATTAGCTCACACACTCGGACATAGTTTTGTTGGAGTTGGGAGGGAGTGGGGAGAACACTGCATCTGAGAAGTGATAGGGGAGTGAACATGACTGAAACACATTAACACATCTATGAAATTCTCAAAGAGTAAAGTATATTAAAATAACTATCATTTCTAAAAGTTTTATTAAAATATATAGGAAATGTTTTTATTGTAACTAAAAATGTCCAGATATAATATGTACTATGCTAGAATCATAATTATTTTACAAAATTTTCAGGAAGAATGACAATATTCAGATTCGGTACAGGAAAGAAATGGTAACATTTTAAATACTTGGTATTTCTATTGATGCCTTGTGTGCTGCAATTGGAAGAGAATCCCACATGTGTAATTTTTTAAAACTATTTCAGAAGATCTGTGTTGAAGGGGTTTTTGCCATTAAAAACTGTGATTCTCTACGGGACCGTTTCAGCTTTGCCCGACGATTTTGGAACCAAATCTAAAAATCAAGGGAAAACAAGATAGTTCTCAGACACATTACTGTATTATCATCACAGGTAACAATTGTGCTTGAGAATTACCTGTATCCTGTCTTCCTCTAGATTTAGCTTTTGAGCTAAATCCTCTCTGATGTCAATGCCTGGATAGCAGTTCACTCTGAAGACATTTTCCAATACTTCAACCTAGAATAAGGAAAGAATACTTTAAGGTGATAACACTCCATATGTCACGAAAATTGGGGTTTCACTTGTCAGAGAAAAATGCATTTAAACTTGGGCAGTTAACCAAATGCACTTTAAAAAATCGATTACCCAAGACCTTTAAAACATGATTCTATTGTTTTATTAGTCTTGCTTCTACTCTGGGATCCCAAAGTGAATGGCTTCTGTATACTGGGGCACCAGTTACAGCCTTTGTGTTATCACTGTGAGGTGAAAAATCTTCCCACCTGGTTTTGGGTAAAAGCAGTTCGTGGTCTTCGTCCTCTGTACCAACTCAATTCCCTTTTCAAAGAGAGTGTTTCCGAGGTTGAGAGATAATTTTCATATTTCAAAGCCCTTTCTTCTAGCATTGGGTGATCCACTGGACAAGGAAATGAGGTCTCATTGGGAAGATCTGGGTCATGTAGGTAGAGGTTGCCATATTTCTCTAAAATCAGAAGAATAAACTCCGTCTTATTGCCTGTGTTCCACATATTCGGGAAAGACATTTCAGTAACTTATTTTGAATTTTCCTAGAGAATTCTTCAGGGTTCCACAAAAGAACCACCTTTTCCATCACACAAAAAAGAAAGAGAGAGAGAGAGAGTGAGAGTGAGAGGGGGGGGGGGAGGGAAGCAGAGAGGGAGGGTGGGTGGGAAGGAGAAGTAAAGAAAGAAAGAGAAAAAAGGGAAAAAAGGAAATCCTGCCTTGGTGATAGAGAACATTTTGGACTCTTCCATTTATTTTTTAGTGAAAAGAGATTAAGAACGTCTGGCATGTCAAACATACATAGTCTTCTTAAGCAAATGTTAGTTCTTTCTGTGATTGAATTAGCATCTATTCCCATCTACGGCAGGTATTCTATTCCCTTACAATTCTGTTAGGGCCTTTCCCCCCTCCCCCCCCCCCGTATTTATGGAACAGAATGACAGAATGGAAACGTGTAGTTTCAAATTCTATACTGTGTGAAATAAAGGACAAACTAAAAAAGGCTGATGAATTTAAAAATTAAGTCGTAGCATACCTGAGTCGCTGCAGGTGTCTGCCCACGGTCTGTGGGGTCTTATCGACGGCACACAATCTTTTTTCTGGTCCAGTCCTAAAATGCTCTCAATTGAGAAGGAGCAGGATGAGGGTTTGCGTTCCCCGAGCTGAGCACCTTCCCGAAGGCTGGGAGACATCCTTTTCTGTGTAGTACAGAGCGGGAGGGCTCCTGCACCACGTGTGCAGAGCAGCGATATTCTGGCAGTTCATTTTATAGCTTTGTTGACTCGGGGGCTGGGTTTTGAACGTCACTAATTAAAATCCTGTTTTAGAAAGTTTTAGCAAGTCAATGAACACTTGCCCAGCCAGCAGCTTAAGGAGTTAATTGTTTATTTGTTTGCAAGTAATTAGCAACTAATGGCGACACCAGGGGGCCACCTACAGGGACAGAAAGTGTTATCTCTCCTAAGCAGAACGCGGACTTAACTTTCTTGAAAGAACTGGTGCACAGGCGTAGCGCTCCTCTTTTATTTGAGATCACTAATGTATAAAATCATGTTTTTATTCTAAAGTTTCTATTTTCCAGGATTCTAGTTACCTAAATGTTCAGGACAGAGAGAAGAGCAATCAAGTCAACAATAATCTGATTTAGCGAATGTTCTTCCAAGGAAACTGGAAAATAATAATCTCTTAATGCTATTACAGTAATTCTGACAAAAATTCCTGTTTTCCATATGCATATGTAACAGTGAACGTCTTCAACGAAATCACAGTACTCTTTGGAGTGCAGCATACTGGAAAAGCCTGGCAATGTCAGTAACACAGAGTGTAATTGTCTTCCAAGTGCCTTGGATTAATTCATAGGAACAGTTGCACCACATATTTTAATGATTTTAAATGATTAATGGGCTAATTCCTTTCTTCCATTCTTTCTTTTAAATGAGAGAGATACAAGCTTACATGAAGTTCATATGCTATATAGAATAATTCTTTCCTTAACACAGTTATTTCTAAGAACATAGTTAACTATACTTTTTTTTTTTTTTTGAGACAAGGTCTTATTTTATAGTTGTGGAACAAACTCTATCTATAGACCAGGTTGGCCTTGAACTGACAGAGATCTGCCCCGCCCCCCTCAACACTGGGATTAAAGGTGGAGGACACAGTGTATGTCCCACCTCTTAATTTAGGGCTTGTCTGTGTCTGTTAGATTTCCTTTGGCCAGTGGAAAGAATGTGAGCAAAAGCTCAAAATGTGTTAGCGTGGTTGTTTTGCCTTCCAGGGCTTCAGATAATACCATGACATCACCCCCCCCCCCCGGGGGTAGCTACTGCCTTTTACCCTTCAGACATGTGAATCGGACTCTATCCCTTCTTACAGGCTATTATAGTCAGGTGAGTCCAGCAAAACTCAGTCAAGTGCCAATTGGTCTGGTATCTTTTTCTTTCTTCATTTCTTCTTTCTTTCTTTTTCTTTCTCTTTCTTCCTTTCCTTCTTTTCTTTCGAGGACACTATTTATTTATATTTATTATGTATAAGGTGCTCTGCCTGCATGCCAGAAGAGGGCACCAGATCTCATTATAGATGGTTGTGAGCCACAATGTGGTCCCTGGGAATTGAACTCAGGACCTCTGGAAGAGTGGCCAGTGTTCTTAATCTTTGAGTCATTTCTCCAGCCCCTTCTTTTCAGTTTTTCAATATAAAGTTTCTCTGTGTAACTGCCCTAGCTGTCCTGAAATTTACTTTGTAGACCAGGCTGTCCTCAAATTTAGAGATCTAGGGCTGGAGAAATGGATCAATGGTTGAGAGCACTAGCTGTTCTTCCAGAGGACCCAGGTTCAATTCCCAGCACCCACATGGCAGCTACCAACTGTCTATAACTCAATTTCCTGGGGACCTGACATCCTTACACAAACATACATGCAGGGAATTGGAAATCTGCCTGCTTCTGCTTCCCAAGTGATGGGATTAAAAGCATGCATGGCCATACCTAGCTTTGGTCTGGCCTTTTTTTTTTTTTTTTTAAATCCATTTATATTTGCTTGTAAATGTTCAATACAAAAGTCATTGGTTTGGTTTGAGGCCTCTGGCTTCTGCTACACTGTAGATGCTTGGCTCTCACTGGGACTCCTCTTGGATATCCTGTTGCCCTGTATTGTGGAGATCCTGCAGCTTTGGGTCTGCAGGACCAGTGCTCCAGCAGATCATTGATGGATTGGATGATGGGGTGGGTTGATTCATAACCCTAGTTCTGGGCCTGGGTAGTTGCAGAGTTGGTCAGCCTGCTAGTTCCTCCTTGTCCTCACCACCATTGTCCTTGCAACAACCAGCAAGGGGTGGGGCCAGTCCTCCTGCCTTTACATCCTCAGGGTCAGCTCTCCCACACCTATGCATGAGGGCCACTTCTACAGTGTCGCCCAGAACTGGTGGTGGTGGTGGGGTGGCTGGTATTTTCTCAGTAGGAACAAAAAACATCCAGTTTAAGTCACTGACATTTGTGAACATTTTTTTTTTTCTTTCAAGACAGGGTTTCTCTGTATAGTCCTGGCTGTCCTGGAACTCACTCTGTAGACAAGGCTGCCTTGGACTCACAGAGATCCACCTGCCTCTGCCTCTGCCGCTGCTGGAATTAAAGGAGTGTGCCACCACTGCCCAGAAGTTTCTTTCTATCTTTTTTTAAAAAATAATTTAATTTATTTTATGTGCATTGGTGTTTTGCCTGCATGTGTGTGTCTGTATGAGGGTGGGGTTCCCTGGAACTGGAGTTATAGACAGTTGTGATCTGCTATGTGAGTGCTGGAAATTGAACCCTGGTTGTCTGGAAGAGCAGCCAGTGCTCTTAACTGCTGAGCCTTCTCTCTAGGTCCTGCTAAAAAGCATAAGACCCCTTTTGTTATTTGTCTTAATGCCTGTTCACAAAGTTCTATCCTGTTCCCAGAAATTGAAGTGTGATCCCATCTCCTGCTATATCAGATCCAAGGCTCCAGAACTTACGTTGAGGTTCTTGACTTGCTGGAGTTGTATTTTGTGAAAGGTGAGTGATACCGATTCAGTTTCATTTTTCTTCATGTAGCTATCCAGTTTGATCAACACCATTTGTTAAACATGTTGTCTTTTCTCCAATGTATATTTTTTATCTTTGTCAAAAATTAGATGGTTTAACAGGAGTTACAGGTGGTTGTGAGCCACTGTGTTGGTGCTGGGAACTGAACTGGGGGACCTTCTGGAGAAGCAACTAGTGCTCTTAGCTACTGAGCCATTTCTCTAGCCCTCGTAAGAATTTTGAGATAGTTTTTTTTTTTTTTCAGTTTCTGTGAAAAACTGTGTTGGAATTTTGATGGGGATTGCATTGAATCTGTAGACTGACCATTTTCATAATGCTAATCCTACCAGTCCTTGAGTATGGGAGATCTTTCCAACTTTTGGTATCTTTTTCAATTTATTTTTTTCAGTGTCTTAGATTTTTTTTTTCCATTGGATAAGTCTTTCATGTCCTCAGATCTTCCCCAAGATTAATCTGAGGCTCTTGTAAACAGGATTGTTTCCCTGGTTTCTTTTTCTGTATGTTTTATTATTATTATTATCATCATCATCATTATTATTATAAAGAAGTCTACTGATTTTTGTGTGTTACAATACTATCTTGCTACTCTGCTGAATGTGTTTGTCAACTGTTGGAGATTTCTGGAGAAGTCTTTAAAGTCTTTTATGTATAAAGTTGTATCATCTACTCTTAAGGTTCCATTGACTTCTTCCTCCCCTATTTGTATCCCCTTTATCTCCTTCTTTTGTCCAGTTGTTCTAGCCAAGGTTTTAAGCACTCTGTTGAACAGGCATGGAAATAGTGGACATCTTGTTTGTTCCTGATTTTAGTGAAAATGCTTTGAGTTTTTCTCTACTTAGTATATGATGTTGGTTGTAGTCTTAGTGCATATTGCCTCTATTGTGTTGAGATATGCTCACTGGATCCCTAGATTCTTCAGGACTTTTAATATGAAGGAATGCTGGATTTTGTCAAAGGTCTTTTCTTCATCTACTGAAATGATCATGTGGTTTCTGTCCTTGAGTCTGTTTATGTAGTGAATTACATGTATTGATTTACATATGTTAAAACACCCCTGCATCTTTTGGTTGAAGCCAACTTGGTCATGGTGGATGATCTTTTTAGTGTGACCTTGAATTCAACTTGCAAGTATTAAGAATTTTGTGTCTATGTTCATCCAGAAGATTAGCCTATAATTCACTCATTCTGCCCCTACTTCCTCCATTCTGTTCCCTACCTTATTTTGTTGGGTTTTTGTCTAGTTTTGTTAGCTGGGTAATATTGGCTTTGTAAAAAGAATTTAGAAGAGAACCTTTCTTTTCTAACTTACAGAATAATTTGAGGTTAATTGGTGCTAGGTCTTCTTTGAAGGAGGATAGAATTCTGTGCTGAGTTCATCTAGTCCTTGACTTTTTTAAATTGGGAAATTTTTAATTACTGCTTTTATCACATTGATTGTTATGAATTTGTTTAAATTATTTTCTTTGTCTTGATTTAACTTTTGTAGATCATATATATCTAGAAATTCACCTACTTGTTATATTTTCTAGTTTAGTAGAATATACAATTTTATAGTATATCCCTATGATCTTTGATTTACCTTTGTTGTGATATCTACTTTTTATTTTTAATTTTATTGAGTTTTCTCTCTCTCTTTTGGTTAATCTTGTCAATTTGGTTAATCTTTTCAAAGAATAAGCTCTTTATTTAATTGATTCTTTGTATTTTTAAAATTTCTATTTCATTAATTTCAGCTCTGATTTTGATTATCTCTTCCTGTTTATTGTTTTTGGGGTGTTGTTTGTTCTTGTTTTTATAAGGCATTCAGGTGCATCATTAAATATTAACTTGAGATCTTTCAAAGTTTATAGTGCTATAAACTTTTCTTGTAAGACTGCTTTCATGGTGTCCAAAGACTTCAGTGTGTTGTGGTTTTGTTTCCATTCAATTCTATGAATTTTAAAATTTCTTTCTTGATTTCTTGACTCAGTCAGTAATCCCTCCATTGTGTATTGTTTGTCTACTTTCTATTGCTGTTGATATCCAGCTTACTCTGTTTCTTTGGCTGTGATGAGACACCATTACCAAAAACAACTTGGAGAGGAAAGGTTTATTTGTAGTCTATTATCAGGGTAAGTCAGGACAGGAACTCAATGCAGGAATCTGAGATTGAAACTGATGCAGAGGCCATGGAGCAGATGCTTCTTA